AGAGAGAAAAAAAAAAAGATATGAAAATAATTTAAAAAAAAAAAAAAGAAAAAAATAAAGTGATAAATATAGAAAAAAGGCATTACAAATAAGGAAAGATAGTGAGAAAGAGAGAAAGAGAGAGAGAGAGAGAGAGAGAGAGAGAGAAAGTAAAAAAAGGAAGAAAAAAGCCGTAAAAAAAAAATGGAGGGAAAAAAGATGAGATAACAAATGAAAGTAAGATAATTAAAATTAAATTAAAACGAAAGTATATAAAGAAAAGAAGTACTTTGGCAAATCGAAATAAATAATAATAACAATAATAAAATGAAAGAAAGAAAGACAAGAAAAGAAAAAAAAAATAGAACGAGGCGCTGCTCATTGGCCTATAATACAATTAAACATGGGTTACAAACATGTGTGTGTTCTCGGCGAGAATTTCGGTGGATGGTGGGGGGTATTTTTTTTTTTGTTTTTTGACTTTAGGAGGCTACAACAAACAAACATTCAAAAAGGGAGGGTCGTCTCTCTTGTATTTTTTTTTCTATTTTTTTTTTTTTTTCATTGAAAGTAAATTTGAAAATTCACCCCGATAATCCGGCCATTTTCTTTTCTTTCTTTTCTTTTCTTTTTTTTTTCTTCCCCAGGAAAATAATTTACGGGATTCAACGAGACGACGACAGCTTCCTCTCTCTCATTTTCTCACACACATTCAAAATTTTCATTCATTCTTTTCTCTCTTTCTCTCATTTTTTTTTTTCTTTTCTCTCTGTTTTTTTTTCGCGTTCTCTCGCGTTTCATACAAATAACCACCACACACACACACACACACACACACAACAAACATACCCACTTTGCATGAAAAAAAAAAAAATTTGTCCAGTCGACTTGCACAAAACGTTCAAGAGATTTGACGATTAATTTAAATTAAAAAAAAAAAAAAATAAAAAAAAAACAAACAAACTAAAAAAACTAAAAAAATTTCCCTCCAAAAAAAAAAAAGAAAAAGAAAAGAAAAAAGAAAATGTCAAACTACGAGAACGCTGAGCCCAAGAACAACGATCGCCAAAAGCGAGTCGAGAAGATAAAAAAAAAAGTAGTGCGTGAGTGATTGGTTGGTTAGAGCGTGTGTCAGAGCAAGAAATAAGGGGAATAATAGCAAAAATGGTAAAGCCGATTATTATTTGGTGCACGGCCATTACGAATGTTTTTTTTTTTTTTTTATATCGTTGGCTCGTTTAGGGGCGACTGACTGTTCGTGGGATCACGTTGTTTTTTTTTTTTTTTGGTTAATTATTCCTTGCCAAAAATATCCTTTGAACGTTTAACGTAAGTCGAAGTTAATTATTTATCTTTATTTATATATATATATATATATATATTATCTTGTTATCTCGAAAAAAAAATCCCTGAATAATAAGACAGATATTTTGTTTTTCCTTTTTACTTTCTTTTTCTATTCTTTTTTTTTTTTTTGTAATTTTTGTTTCTTTGAATTCTTTCATTTCTCTCTTTTTTTTTTATTTCTTCCTCTTTTTTCTTTCTTTCCTTCTTTCTTTCTCTATTTCTCTCTCTCTCTCTCTCTCGCTCTCTATCTCTTTCTCTCTCTCATTCTCTCCCTCTCCCTCTCTCTCTCTCTCTAAATTTTCGTTTTCTAAGATTATTCTAATTTTCTAAAAAAAAAATCCCATAAAGTTAAGCATTACACGCAATCTTGCTTCGAATCTTTCTTTTTTGTATTTTTATTTTTTTTTTTTTTTAAACGCAACAAAACGCTCTCGCGACGAATTTGTGCATCGAAAAAGAAAAAAAATTCTCTTCTTTCTTCTTTTTTGAATTTTTTTTTTTTTTTTTGACACGAAATCGACCATAGAACGCACGCGTAAAAGAGATTTCAATGTTTACGTTTGAATTTCCCGCGCTTTTCTTTTCATCCCCCAAACGCCATCAACGGACCACGAACGAACTAACGAACGGATGCAAGCACATCCAAGAAATAAATGATCCCTTTTTAACAAATTTTAAATAAATACCCACCCCCCAACCCTTATTTTCTTCACAAATATTCCGTCAATGTAAACTTTGTCCACCGAATTTATAATTCATCAACGATTTATTTCGAATAATTCGAGTGACCGCTTGATTTTTTTTCACGTGGATATTATTTTTTATACTATATAACGGTTTTTTTGTTTGTTCGTTTATTTGTAATTATTCTTTTAAGTATTTTTTTGTTTTTTTTATCGTTTCGTAAATATATTCGCATTTCGTGATTGTTTCTGTTAAACTTTCCGTTTTTTTCTTTTTTGTTTTTTTTGTTTGTCTTTTTCATATTAACGTAAACGTTTTTTTTTATTATCGTAACGTCTATTATATTTTTTCCTATTCTTTTTTGTTTTTGTTTTTTTTTTAAATTCTATAAAAGAGCCTCCCAGGAATAGTTTCTCCCTGCGATACTGCACCGTGGGCTCGTTGCAGTCGCGCAGAAGACAAGTGTAAGATGAAGTTAACAGGTGAAATTCTGAAAAGTTAAATCAATTAGCACAACATCTGTATAGCAATTTTAAAGTCGTCCATCCGCCACCGTATTATTAAATATATATATTTTTTTTAAATATATAAATAAATATCTGTATACATATATAATATTATATGTATATAAATAAATTTGTGTTATATTAAAAAAAAAAAAAAAAAAANAAAAAAAAAAAAAAAAAAAAAAAACTTAAATTTAAACGTAACTTTTTTTTGTTTCATTACTTCTCCAAATACAATTTTTATCCAACACAACGCGCGTTGTTCGTTTTTTCGTTGATATAGGGGGCGTCGTTGTTGTGTCTCGTAAATGGAGAAATCAAAAAAATAAATTAAAAAAATAAATAAAAAAGAAAAAAAAAAAAAGGTACACAAGGAACGTGAGACGATTAATTAAAATCGTCATTATCATCTCTCTCATCGCTGTTTTTTTGTTCACAATTAAATTAATCGTTTATTTTTTGCACTGTTGTAATAAAAAAGAGGCTTATGCCATTTGTTAAACATTATTGCGTCTTTCTCAATTTTTATTGTAAATTATTACTTTTTTTTTTTTTTTTATTTAAATGGTCGTCGATCGATCTCGACGAATCGTACGAGATAGTTGTAAAAAAAAAATATATAAATATATATATATATATATATAATACCATATACATATATATATATACATATATATATAAAATGCACGTTTTATTATTCAACGTCGTCCGAATTCGAAATACCCGTGTTTCGGCGAAACATTTCTAATCAAAATAGGAAAGCTTCAGACGACACAAAAAGCATTTTTGATCAATCATTCATCTCTGGTTCAATTTTTATCTTTTTTAACCTTACAATACAAACCAAAAATAATAAAAAAAAAATTAAAAAAATGATTTATATTTTGTTCCTGGTATACACTTTCATCGATAAGACTGGGAAAACTTAAATATATATATATATATATATGAAAAAATATGTATAAAAAAAAAAAAAAAAAAAAAGTAAAGTAATGCCTTTCGTATTTAATCATCGTGACGTTATTCGTACAATGCAAACCATGCAAAAAAATACTTTCGATTCGTCGCCATGTTTTTTTTTTGTTCTTCTTCTTCTTCTTTTTCTTCTTCTCCTTCTTCTTCTTTTTTTTTTTTTTTAATTACATATATACGTAAAAATAAAAACGTATGACGTTATATAGATAAAGGCACATAGTTTCTAATAATAGTATAATTGATCGCAAAAAAATACTATCTTGATATTTTCGTAATCCGTAAGGGCGTATGTTATTATTCATTCGTTTAATGCACGATCAAAGGTTGAATAATAATACGTGGACGAGAATCGCATCAGGACATAGATTATTTATATCTCGTGTCGTAAGAATATAACGATAACGAGATTAAATGTGGTTAGCAACGATTTTCGTCCACTCGGCTAATAATAATGATTATTATTATTAGAAAAGCTGTTAAGTTGCGACCGTTTAGGATTAAACAACGTTAACAGCAATTTGGCGTTAGGACGTACGTATACGCATGTACGTACGCACGCACGCACGACAAATGCACTATTTTGTTAATCACGTAAGCCGAATTTCTTAAACTCTTACCTTGCTTGAAACTTTCGCTCCCTTGTCTACTATGCGGCCGCGCGAACGTTTCCTCCGAGGCTAAAATATATAAAAAATAATATTTATAAGTTTGATATGTTCAAATATTTCTTCTTATTATAGAATAAAAATAACGTATTGAGTTGTTTGAAAAGTAATTTCGTTTTTCTTTTGTGAAAATGAAGACAATTTTCGCTTCGAGATTAAACCTAGACCTTTCAATCAAGTTGGCACATAAATAGTTAAATTTTATAAATTTAACCTCTCACCCCGAATCTTACGTGTTGTTATTTGCCGGTTTGCATCAACTAATGCCTTTATTGTATCAAGAAAAAACGAAATTACTTTACGAACAACCCAATATTATTATAGAAATTATTTATACAATAGATAAAATGACACTAACCTTGCGCAGAAGTACTGGGCGTTGGTTCTGGTTCTCTTTTAACTCTAGGCGTTAACGATTCATGGGTCTCTGTACCATTTTCCGTAGGTTCGTCCTTTCTCGAGGATGACAACGAACTGGCAGCCAAATTGGCCGCCGCCGAGGCCGAATTACCGATGTTGTTGCTGTTGACATTGTTACCGGTCGAAGAACCACTCCTATTATTACCAGTAGTCTCACTCTGGAAATCTATGCCCATTTTCATCTCCATCATCTCGGGTGAACCTTGTACAAGATCGGTACTCGAGCAAGATTGTAGATCTTGTCCGGTACTAGCCTCGCCAATTGGTGTGTCCGAGGAGCCGCTTAACTTCCTCGGCCTACCCCTTTTCCTCTTTGGCGCTGTTAACGCTGAACCAAGTAACGGATGGCTCGACATATGATGGAACCTCTTTTGAGATACATGATGGTGAGGTCCAATTTGGTTTATTCGGTGAAGGTTCGGAGGTGGTGGAGGTACTGTGTTTTGATTGCCAAGAAGTGATGACGTGATGCTGGGCAAGTCGCATTTGTCCTCGTTCACTTCTGTCAGGCCCTTTATCCTTAAAGATTCCGCAACCCTCAGGAAGGCTGTTAGCCTATCCTGATCGACGCTCACTTCACCGCGATACATGAAGTCTAGAAGACTTCTCATGTCTACGTATGGGACGTCCTTTAAAATGACTATCGGGTGCTTATCGGGATGACCAACGAATAGGGCCTGAAAATGATATACGTCATTTTAAATCTCATTAACTTTTCTTCATTTACATTTTTCTATTTAAATCTTAATTTGAATTTCTTGGGTCTTACCTGAAAGTAAGGACTGCACGCCGATAAGACCATTTTATGGGCCCTAAGCAACTGACCCTCGACGGCCAGTGTAACGTCAACGAAAGATTCGTCATGAAGCAATTGATCAAAAACGGAAAGTAAATTGCTCTGATGGTTGTTCCAGCGCAGACAAAATCTCTGCGACGCCATCGCTTCGCTTCTCAGGTCCGCCAGGCTACCGTTAATATCCGCTAACATCAGACCTGGTGTTAATTTTTGTTCTTATGTCGCTTGCTGCTGCTGCTGCGCTGCCGCCGGCGCTGCTGCTGCTGCTACTACTATCGTTGCTTTTGCTATAGCTGCTGCTGCTAATCTGCTGGTGCTACTACCACCTCGTCGCCGATTATTCTCGCCTTCCCTGACGAAGGCACTCACTCTTTCTCTCACTCGTATATGTATTCTTTTCTTCATCGGCCACGATATATCATGCCTTATCCCCTCGCGACCTGAAATATATAACAAATTAACCTTTGACATATGAAATAAGGCCCTAAGGACAAAAACAACATTTCTAACGAATAATGATTAATCCTGACTATTTTAAAAAGTAACTATTGAATTTTTCAACGGGTTTAACGTACTCCAACGTTACATAACTCAGCCTACTTTTCTTATCGTCACCTTGGAAGGAACCCAAACGACGAATAGACCGTCAACGTATGTGTGTCTCTGTCGCTTATAGACGCTCGTTCTACTACTGATTTACCCTATTTTACAAATTAAGTATTACTCCTTGATACTTCAGATGGAATGTTGAGGACACTTAACGTAACGCATATCAAAATGAACGGATGAAAAACAAAATACTTTTTTTTCGTTTAGTTTTTATCATTCTTTCCATTTTTTTGTGTGTGTGCTGTAATCAGCCAGCAAGTCCTCCTCTTTCTATATACACATGAAACGACGATAGCGACTGCGTGCATAATTATGCGCGTAAGCCCCCGAGGAGACGACGATGTGTACGAGGTATGAACGTGGGTGTACGACCCTGGAAAACGTAGGCAGAGCGAATAGGCGACTCGCTCGGTTCGTGCCTTTTATGTAATTCTCTCCTCACCCCTTCACCGACCCAATCATGGTCACGTATGTAACGTTCGTTCCGCCAAGACTGCGAAGGCGTGGCGCAAAGGATGACTTTCTATGATCCTCTCGAGAGACAATTTTCAAAAAAAAAATAAATAAAAAAATACGCGCCATTTTTAAATACAACTAACAAACATATTTATAAATAAGCAAACTCTTGAAAAATCCTAATATTCCAGACTTTATCTTTACAAATTGGGATCGTTTATTGATATGAGAACGCAAATCATGCATAACCTCAATAATCGAACGTATTACAAACAATTTAGGTTAGTTTCTTCACCTCTTCATTGATATTCTTATGGGATGACACGATGGGTACACTTTATGCATCTGTTATACATATCTATCGAAGAAAACAACACCCTTTCTGTTGATGTCTATCGTACGGAGACATCAAACGGGGATTTACGAGAAAAAAAAAGAGTACTAGGCTAGGTAAATAAAATTCCCTTCAGGTGGAAGAGTCGAAGAAAGTATATACAATCCTCGGATGAACGGTAAATAGAAAGAAGAGAAACGGTATGCTTGACGCCATATTTAAAAAGATCAGCTTCAGAGTCACGTGAGCATGATAGATATCTTTTGAAATTCCGTTATGTGACTCCAAAAAAAAAAAAAGAAAAAAAAAGAAAAGAATAAAATAGTCGGTTTAAAATGCAGTAGGGAAGAAAACGACAAAGCAGCAGCACGAAGAAGACTAGAAATCCACATACGATGACGTTATACCCAAGGACTGACGACACAACACAACAGATAGAAGAGGAGAGGAGGAGAACAAGAGGTGGAATAGAAAAGGAAGGAAGAACTAACGTAAGTTGGATAGCACCTTTTTAGACAGCAACCAACAACAGAAGTACCAATAAGAAAGAAGGAGCTGACGAAACATAAGAGACGCGAAGGAGGTCAGCAGAGTGAATCAATAGCATCTTTTTTTTTTTTTACGCATATTCGGATATCGATCAGCCCAGGCAGGCAGCATTTAACTGATTTTACCCGTATCTATGGATGCATATTCTCCTGCGCATACATCTATGCGCAAAAGGATTCCTATGCTCGCGCACGCACACACTACTCGCTGCTGCTAACTAGCAATGTGTGTTATGTGTATGTGTGTGACCTTAAATATGCAACCTTGAACGACCTTGTTGGTTCCATGATTTTCACGGTGAATAACATATCGCAATCCATCACCCCCTTACTCCTTCTATCAAACAATATGCTAACTTTTTTTTACATTAACTAGGAAAGGATGACTTAATCTTATCATTTATTCCCTATTCAACAATTCTAATTTTCACTAGGTTATTCATTCGAACGATAATGTTTAAATAAGTTGCACATCGTTGCAACGACGATATTACAGCGAGGAATGAACGAAGGCCATTTGTTACGAGTACAAACAACAAATGTTCAACATATATTCTACGGAAGTGTACAATGTAACCAGGTGCTCTTCTATTTCTTTTTTTCTAACACTCCTATTCCCTCTCTCTCTCTCTCTCTCTCTCTCTCTCTTTCTAATTAGTTTATTCACTTTACTTCTACATCTCTAACGCGAATTAATTCACCAAAGTTTTTATATTACTGATGTGTTTTTGCAAGAGGGTTTTTACAACATTGGCAATATCAGCAAATTCCAACGTTTGCACATTCATCACCATTGGCTAACGAAATAATCATTTCCAGGAAAATAAATATACGCTCGTATATCGAAAACGGAAAATAAAAAAAAAATAACAGGGGAAAAAACAAAACTCTTCTTGATATGGGAGGGGGAGGATTCAAGAAACAATCGACTAACTTCCTCTTCGATTATACACCGAAGGAATAAAACAGGAACCAATAATCTCGAGAGTGAGTCTCTCTCTCTCTCTCTCTCTCTCTCTCTCTCTCTCTCTCTTCGTAGTGGAGCTTAACATTTTACGTAGGCGGGAATTAGGGGCGCGGTATGCGGTTTTCCTGCTCTTACAACACACGCACACACAATGTAACGTTTTAACAAGCAATATATGCTCGTGCGGCCTACGACGATACAAGATTTTCTCTTCCAATGAAATCGTCACTATTTAAAAAAAAAAAAAAAAAAACAAAGGAATTAACTATTTTCTATTTTGATAAACACAAATAATAGGGAAGGAATGAAATGTAAATAAAATATTTTATCATTGGAGCACTCCCTGAAAAAATAAAAATAAAATAAAAATAAGAAAAGAATAGGAAGGGTATATATTTTTGTTTTCTAATAGTAGGAGGGAGGAAAATAAAGTTTCTTTTTCTGTGTAGAGAAGTATAATAGTAGTAGTAGTTTTATAGCAAGAAGAACGAGCGCATGGCACGAGAATCCTGTTGCTTGCACGACGCACGTGCACCGTGTGTGTTTCTCTCTTTCTCTCTTACACGTTCTCATGCGCGCATGCGCACCATGCTCAAGTCCGAACTCTATATCGTGGATACATGTGTATGTGTATGCATGTGCATAGTATATGATATGCGTATGTGATATATATATATATATAATACGTGGATGTCGAGTTGCGTATGCGTGAGACTCACTCCTCTCACGGCCACCGCGCTTGTTACGTAATCGACACCAGCAGCGGCAGAGTCACGCTGAGAGAAAGAGAAGGAGGAAAAGGAGGAGGGAGGTGAGGATAGGAGGGACAGGAAAATGAGAGAAAGAGAGGACTCGTAGAAACAACGGTGGACAACGCGACAATCTTGCTTGCTATGTGCTGCTACCACTGCTAAAGCTGAATACTACTTCTGTTTCGTGTACTGTGTTACTGTTTGCTACTATTGCTACTGTTGTTATTATTTTACTACTAGAGTGTACTTCTAACTAAACTCTCTCTATAAACTTCTACTCTTGTTTTCTCACTCACTCTCTCTCTCTCTCTCTACAACCCTCGTTTATTCTCTTCGACAATTTAAGATTTTCCCAATCGTCCTCTCCTAACATTATCATCCTTCTCTCTCTTACTACGTCATCAACTTCCGCATATACTTGAGAAATTGTACTCTGTGACTGACTGATTATTCCTATACTACCAAACACACAACATGTCGTGTTAGTACCAACCACAACCACCACCTCTTGCAACCATTTCCAATACGCGGCCACATCATCATCATTTATCATAAACGTGGATTTACGTATATTCGACTTTGAACTTATCCCATTATGGAAATTCATTTTGTTTATTATATTGTTACAGATTAAACACAACACGTTATTTTCATAATAATATGTAACTTTGAGTTTTGTTAAGTTAACATTAACTTTTTATAAATGCAATTTTTTCTATTAACGAACCTTACCATGAATGTTTAACATTAGATATACCAGACCAGTCATTTTGACTAGTCGGACCATTTTAATTCAAAATTTCTACTTCATGTAACATTTGAGTTCTGTAAATAATTAACCGTTTTGTCATTTAAAAATGTCTATAAATTCATTTATTTATTAAAATTATTATTGTTAAACATTTTTTGTTATTTTTTAAGATTAAATAAAGACTGGAAGTCTCATGAAGCATGTTTTTTCTATACATCAGTCATTTTGACTAGTGTGGTAGAAATAGATATACTGAAAATGGTGGTTATATCTTGTGTTAAAACGTTGAACGCCACACGAATTCTTAGGGAAATTCCCGTCAGGCCACAGGTTTTACTTTGTATTGAAAAAATAGTTGAGCGTCAGGCACAAATGCCTGACATGGCCTAAACGTAAAGTCTAATGTCAGCCACCGATGACTGACGTAGCGCTCAACAACGTTTTAAATAGTTCATTTTGTATTATCAGATGTACAATCAGATTTTGTAAATAAAACTTTTTAGATAAATTAGACAATTTTACAAATGACTTTTCTTTCTTGTTCAGTTATTGTCAAGTTAAAGATAAAGATATATATATATAAAAGGTTATGACGCGTATTGTGGGTATCTCCCGAAGTATTTTTTTGCTGAATCATCGTACAAGGATGATGAAGTCGACAGTAGTTGTTAGAAATTTTAACTGAAAATCCTAATAACAACACGCCAACAACAACAGAGTTAGACGTAATATGACGTCACTGGACGATAGTCCATATTTTTTTCTTTTTGTTATTCTTTTTTTATTCCCACGAATAGAGTCATGGATCAGTCGATAATGAAGAAAAGGATTTTGATGAAAGTATGGGAGATTTGTTTGATAGAACAAATACTATTTTACCGATAGACAAATCTTATCGACTGTACAGACACACACACACACATGCATACATATACAAATGTTTATGTAGAGATTGTTATATATTATTTACTATTTAATTTCTATGAACTTTTACCTAAGACCCTTGATAAACGAACTAAATAA